CTTTATCTTCGGTACCCAGCTCATATGTGGAGGCTTTCGACGCCTCCGCTTGAGGGCTTTCCCGTTTCAGCTTTCTGTGGCACTCATAACACGCACCCGGGTTGAATCACCCGGGTTGATCGGTTGAATACCCTTTGGCCCCTTATAGGTGACAGTTTATAGCCTATAACTTACACAGCTTATAACTTATAGGGTCCCTCGCCTCAGTTTGGGCCACCCTCAACCTAGGTCCTAAGAGTTCCTCTCTACCTAAGAGGAGAACTTGGTCCTTGCCGTTATTCTGTTATTATTTATTACTCATCTGCTATTCATTTCTTCTGCTCCCTTCGCTACCGTTCCCTAATCTGTTCCGGCCTTATCCTGCAGTCTCCACTTCTTTCTTCTGACGCCTGGATTTGTTTCCTGTCCGTATCGGACAAATCTTGTGATTTGAATAACGGTGCTTATTTGACTAGCCGGAGCGTGAGTCAGTACAGTAGCGCCTCACGGGTTATCTGTTAAGGCGTCCACGCATAGCAGGTCCTGCACTGTAGTCAGAGCGGGGTACTTCATCGATAGGTGCCTGTGTTGGTCGCGTGATACCGTAATTGTAACCAGCTTGACAATTGTAACCAGCTTAATAATCTTTAACTTGCTCCCGGCCGGGGAGGTTGACCTGCTCGGCAACGGTTTTTCGCACACGGATAAAAAACGAGCCTCCGCAGCAACACGGAAATCTAACTACCTGGTTATCTGTCAATTCGGCATCCTTTTTACAAATTGAAAGTTTTGATTTTTACATATCAGCAACCAAAGTCACACCAAAGAGGTCAGCCTCTAAAAATTTGACTATGCGTCACTTTGTGTGGGTTGTTTGCCATTGTTTAAGCTAGTGAGAGTAATAGACCACGAAAGTACTCACAGTTTGTTTGGCTCATATTTTTCGGAAAATGCGAGGTCAGTGGCCTGATGCCAGGTCAACTTTTGCTGCTTTGTGGTAATGCAAGTGTGTGCGTATTTGTGTGTAGGTTTGGTGTTTGTATATGCGAGAGAGAGAGAGAGAGAGAGGGGAGAGAGAGAGAGAGAGGAGAGAGAGAGAGCGGAGGATGGGACGAGGATCGCGAGAGGTAAAGGACTATAGAGAGAGCGAGACGATAGAACGAGAGATAGAGCGAGGAGAGAGCGAGGCCTATCTATCTGCTCGACGTCTCTCGATCGAGCTCCTCTATCTCTGCTCTCCTCTCTCTCTCTCTCTCTCCTCATTGCTCTCCTCGGTCGGTTGTTTTTGTTTGTTTTTGTGTTTGTGTGTGTGTGTGTGTGGTGTGTGTGTGTGCTTACATGCACAGTACATGCCGTCTCGACGTGTTAACATAGGTTTTAACTTCATCTAGCGGAACGACTGTTTTCGACCTTTCACGACCCCTGGTGACCTCATACCTTAGGTCAAAAATCTCGTTTGCATTATTCATGATTTGACGAGGTCACAGACCCGGGCCGGGCGCAGCTTGATATAAACGTACGCATGCTCTAATATCAGTGCTTCTTGCTTCATTATGTATGCTCTTCGTGTGTACTTTATTCCGTTATGGACATCGTGGTCTTTTCTCATCGTAGTCTTTCTCAAGAAATGCTTTTTCAGTTCACATGCAAGTATCCACTGACCCAACGCCCAGCGCGGGGCCATCGCGAGAAGCATTGTTGTCGTTTGGAAATTTGAGGATTTTGTTGTGGAAGCGAGTCAGAGCTGGTTAGAACGCAACGCAAATAGTGTGTGTGTGGTTTGTATTGTCTAGGTAACGTGTTGAACATTGCAGTTGGGCACCTCTGCTGTTGTAAAATGGAAATCGTATACGCAAAAATAGTTAGTGTTTTGCTGTCACTTTCCTCTAAGCGCAAGCACACAAGCTGAACTGCAACTGCCCTATGTACTAATAGCTTAATGCAATATCTTTCGAATCGATTAATTTTTTGTCTTAAGTTACGAAATCATGAAATCAAATCGAGGCGTCCGCAGCCGTAGCCAAATATTAACTCCACAAGACGAGTCACCCCCAGGTCCATAGCACACTTGCTTCAGCGCGCCTCTGTGCAGTATGCTGCCACTGAACTTTGCGGGCTTTGCCAAGGTCAAGATCATGCAAACAATGGGCGTGGCTATTCGATTATTCGCTCCGAGCCTCGAGGCATTGTCAAACTGAAACGTTGTGCGTCGAGCCCGCGTTACGCTGTTTTGTCTTGCGTTCTGCTTTCAGTTAACTGAAATTAGCTGTTTATATCTTGTTATCGTGCTCGCACGGAAGTCGCATTCTTTTACTGCTCCCTGATTAGCATTTATCAACTCCGAGACAAAAAGTCACAAATTAGGCCAGTATAAAACTTGACCGGAAAGCATATAGGGCAAGCATTGCCCAGCTCTTTTCTGAGGAAATTGCTTGCAAGAGATTGGTGAATGGAATAAATCCGCGAAACCTTGTCTCTCGCCCATGCGCTTTATTGTGCGATTTTATATATTACTTTATTGTGCCGAATGGCGCACGTTGTACTTTCACCTCACGAAAATTTGAGCAGCAGTATTTTCATCGCACAAAAATAGCATTCACCCAGTTATTAAATCACTGTGTATAAGCATATGGCCATATAACTACTAAGCTTGATCAATTTTCAAGAGGCCCAAGGTAAAAGGTTAAGATGAATGAAAATTGTTCGCTTTATGTGCTCATACAGCACTATTAAAAAACGATGCAGCTGGGTGTGGTTTTGCTTCACGAAACCAGTTACAGAAGAGTAGAAACAATAAGCTAATTTTGCCGTATATTTTTCCAGCACAGTAGCTGTATAAACTACCATGCTGGTTATAGTTAAGATTAGCGGCACTTATTTTTACTACGTTGAAACAAGTCAAGTTCAGAATCCTCCATCCTTTGCGCGGTTTGTCTCTGAGTTCCGCATTACTCGAGAGATGGGGCTGTAATATGGCCGATAATGGTCCAAACCACAGTCGGGCGAATGGTTTCAGCCCCCGCAGGGTGTGACGGTCAGGTCACCCGAAAGCCGCAGCCTGGTCAGCCCGGGCGCCTACGGCCAGGTCAGGTCAGGGCATGTCAGTCGGTCGGCGGCGGCCAGGTCAGGTCAGTCGACCGGCGGCGACCGGGTCAGGTCAGGTCAGTCGGCCGGCGGCGGCCAGTTCAGGTCAGGTGAGGTCTGCCGCGGGCACCGACGGCCAGGTCAGGCCAGGTCAGGCCAGGTCAATCGGCCGGCGGCGACCGGGTCAGGTCAGGTCAGTCGGCCGGCGGCGGCCAGTTCAGGTCAGGTGAGGTCTGCCCGGGTGCCGACGACCAGGTCAGGCCAAGTCAAGTCAGGTCAGGTCAGGTCAGTCGGCCGGCGATGGCCAAGTCAGGTCGGGCCAGCCGGTCGCCGCCGCTACCGCCGCTCGTCGCAATGTCTCCCCGGCTAACTGCGGTGCGGCGCGCTTTCTCCGACGCACGACGCGGACGAGGCGGCGGGCTGACACGGTTCCAGAGCTGGCGGCCATGACGGCACCCTCACGACTGTCCCTGCCCGGCTGACCGCGCCGTAACGCCCCAGATACAGCCGCAGGCGGCGAGCGACTGCTCTGCGGCTGGGCTAGGCCGCTGTCGCAGAGCGCTCAAGCTGCTGAGGCTGTTTTGAGCCATCTGGTTGTGCGCATGCCTAGTTGTATTGTGTTCGGGTAGCCCTGAATCCCAAGTCACTGTTTGTAGATATAAAGGCGTGCCACTTCAAATTAGCTGCATTTTCCATGATTCAACAATAACAACATGCATAGCACAGGTCATAACGATCTCATTCCTCACCAACATCTTAGCTACGACCGCGAGGTAATTCGGCTGCCTGAAGCCATCGGTAGTATGCGCGTAACAGAACAGAACAATACAGAGGTAAAACAAAGGCCCACGCAGTGATGGACGGCGATGGTCGTCGCTACTTTGTACATCCGAGCCATCAATCGCTCCCACGCTCCATAGTTCCGGGGCGAGGTAATCCACTTGCTGCAGTTGCTGAGCGGCCCGTCTTCTCCGGAAGAGCAGCAGCCCGCAGCGCACCGCCGAGGCCGCCAGTAGTGCTGCCGGACAGCGCGCCGCCAGGCGGCCAACTGGGGAACTAGCCGCAAACGGAGCTGATCGAATACCCACCTCCCTCTCAGATTGAGAAGCACGCATATTGCATGTAGGTTGCTGCACAGATCAGCAGGGTAAGCTGCGTCTCCGACGCTGGGTGCTGACACTGGCGCTGGCGGTATTTGCTGGTCACTGCGGTACCGATAAGGGAAGCACCGAGCCACGTTCGTTGATGCGCTATGTGAACCACTTCACCAACAAACAGAGCTGGGTGGGGCCGGAACGCGCCGTTTATCCCGGGGCCCGAGCGCAATAACAGGAACCGTGCACTCATTCACACCCCTCAAAGACCCATCCAGGCCAGGAAGCCCGAAAGGGATTTGCCCCGCATTTGCCGATCGATTCTGTCGGACGCGCCGCCAGTGAGCCATTGCAGGAACGTGGGACCGTCGGAACGGGACGTGCGTCTGCCGACCAGCCACTCCAGGAACGTGGGACCGTCGGAACGGGACGTGCGTCTGCCGACCAGCCACTCCAGGAACGTGGGACCGTCGAAGCGGTTCAATATGTTCTGCAACAGGAGCAAGCATGTGACGGAAGGCTCAAGGAACAAAGTGTGCGTGTTCGCCTGCTCGTCGTTGCGTTCGTGCGCTTCTATGCCTCTCAGGCATGCCACTTAAATCGTAAAGATATTGTCTGAAGCATGCTGAGAATTTTGAACATAACTGTGATCTTTCACAATGTTTGGATCGATTTCACCAGATCGCGGTACCGTTTAGCAGGCGATTATCATTCCGAACTGATATTGAATATGGAGGTCAAGTTATTCGGGCGGATCAGACATCATTGGCTATGCGCAGCATGCCATCGGCCGGGAACGGACCGACCGACGAACTGGTGAGATATGCGCCTCTCCAAACGGTGCCTGTCGCCGGTCGCGTGTCTCCGGCGGGGTCACTGACCTGCGGCCGGCAGTCCTGGTACTCGCGGTCCAGGTCCACGCGGTCCATGCCCAGCTGTAACAGCGCCGAAAAGGCCCGCTCCAGGGTGAATGGGTGCGGGTGCTGCTCCCGCGTCAGCAGCCACACCGTCTCTGGCGACCACAGGTCACGAACGGGTCACGGTCACGAGGACGCGGGCCAAGGTCACGGCGGCACGGCCAGTGCTACGTGAAAGGATTCAGCTCTACGTCAGCAGGGAGCCAAGGTCATTCCAGGAGAAGACAAGCACACCTTCACGGGGGTCAAGGCCATGCTATCAGAGGTCAAGGACGCATCAGCAGATGCACCGCACATTCACACGGGCGGCGCTTCGCCTGCCTGTAAGAAGTTTTCTCATGCGATGGTCCTTTGAATATCCGGTCGCTGCCCCTCTGAGATCAGAGATTTCTTGAGAGCCTCCGACTCTTCTCAGAACCCGCGACTCCGACTCGAGAGTCCTCACCTCGTTTGTTGAGCACGTTTGTGCCGCTGCACTGGTACTCCACCGTGAAGTTAGCATAGTCTGTGGCTATCACCTGATAGTCCTCATTTCTGTTGTCTGCAACGACAGGATTGGCATCAGATTACCCTGCCAGCGCCATGCCGAAATGAAGTGTGCATGTAAGCGGAAGATCAGCAGACCACGGGACGGCGTACTTGACAGTGGCCGTGCGACTATTGTGGCTGACAAAGATAGCGTGTCATTTGACACACGACAGTGGACTTTTTGTAAAAGTCATATGGAAGTAGGAGACCAATATATAGACCTGTCCTTGAGTTTCACATTCGTAATTTCCAACATTTGACAGCTCACGCGATTTCGCCTCTTTCACCGGCTGTGAATGCTGTCTCGCCCCCTGTCGAACCCACGACTGGCGTGTTGAGTTCCATGCGACCACCACGACAAAACTCAAAACACAGCTTGGCTCTACGTCCCATCTTTTTTTTAAATCTTTCAGCCGCTTTTTCCGATTGGCGGGCGTCGGGAGGAGTCAGACGAGATCATGTTGCACTTCCGCACGTTCTGCGAAGTATTCGATGTCTGCAGCACATCAATTTACGTCCGAGTGTTCGCTTTCAAGTGACAAGATAAATACCATTAGTCCTTAAATCATCCCATGACGTGCCTCACAATTTTGAATTTTCCCTTTGACGGCTTTGCGCTTAACGAGCGGCGCTGTTCCTGTTACAGCGTGAGAGAGCAATGACATAAGCAGATTCCATGCAAGTTGTACCCAGGAAGGGCAAAATTGGAACCCAATTTATTTATCCGTCATCTTCAACATTCACCCGTTGGTTTCTAACCAACTGACATTTATTCCAGCTGGCACCACCGGCAGCACAGAGACTTTCACATTTACACCTTTGAAACTTCAGCTTCACAAGGATTTTTTTGCACTTTGGGATCGTAGACTAGTCGCAATGATGTACTTCGCATTTGCATCGAAAACTGAGCGATTTCGCCCGCGTTCGCATCTTGGAGTTAAGGATTTGACTTGAGATGAGTTTAGCTGGGGCTCTGGAGCAGTGTCTGACACTGACAAACTTCGTTTTCCGATCTTGTGAAACATATAAATAAATAAATAAATAAATATATATATATATATATATATATATATATATATATATATATATATACATCATATAATTGAAGTAGAATCGCTTCAGCTCAAATGGTCATGCCCCGAAACCATCTGGTTTCACCTCCTTAGGTCCGCAGGCAGGATCACTATTGTCTTTGAAAGTTAATTGGTCGTCATGTCATTCATTGGCGCATGAAGCAAGGCAGTCCCTCAAGACCTCTCAGGAACTTGGATGCAGGCAAACAGTGAAAGCTTCCTGAGTGGCGCGGTAAGTCCTGACCGTCTGTTTGAGCTGGTTGGAGTAACGTCAGATTCACGGAGCGAACTAGCAACCGCTCTCTTCCAATCAACGGCTCATATCGGCGTACGCATAAACTGCGTCTCACTCAACTTTCGTGATCACTCCAGTAAAACCGTGGCTAAACAAACAAATTCATGCATGAGGAAAACAGGACAAGTATTTATTACGAGCGAAGTGCAATCAACACTGGTGAACAGCCTGAGATGGAGTACATCAGAGATGTCGATCGCCCTTGGCGAAGACTGCGAGCCAAAGGCCATTATTACGTCCATACGACCCTCAACGGTCCACCGCTGGTGTGTTACGGGTCGGTGACTGCCCTCTACCGATGGCGGAAAAACAACAGGACCGCTGAAGCCGAACTCATTAAATGCGGTCGCTCACTGAAGTTGAAAAACGCCTTGCTATGAGCCCATTTCTCCTAAATATTGCGGACCAGCTACCACCTACGCGGGTATTAGTATAACATTGAACCGCAGAGTCGCCAACGGCGAGATCCCTGCCAAGGAGGCACCCCCACCTACAGGCAGAAGCGTCCGCATCCCTGCGGAAGAGGCACTCCCACCCTGCGTGTGGGCCACCCGACCCTCTGTCCGAGCCACCCGACTCTGCGACGGAGCCGCCTAAACACTGCTGCCGGAGGTAGGGCCGGACCGTTACGGGCGTCACGCAGTCACGCAGGCCGTCACGCTGCGTGACGCCGCCACCGCACGGTGGCCATCTGTAACGAGGGTTACGGGCGAGTGGCGAAGTAAGCCAGGGTGCAGGAGCGCGGCGCCGGACTTCGCCGGGGATCGAGGACGTGGGACCGCGGTGCGGGGCGCCTGATCCTCGTGACTGGTGGTCCTCAGGCCCGAGGCCTTCAGCTGGCCGCTCAGCGATTAGCGTTTGTGTTGTTTCTCAGCGCGTGTGGCTGCTTACGTTCTCAATGGTACGATCGATAGCGCGGTTGTGACGGACGGCGCTGGAAACAGCCTGCGGTAGGTGTCCGATTCACACTCTTGTGGCGGCGGGTTGAGCATGCTACACACTTCTGAGCATTGCCTCCCCCTGCGAAGCCTAGATATTGCTGGGGTTATCCAACGTGGGAAGTACTAGAAGGTTTCATGTGCAAGCGTATGAACTATCTCCCAGAGTGTCTTGGGAGTTCTCATAGAGTTCTGCTGTGTGTAGGGACAGTACAAACAGCCACCCAGAAAGCGCCAAATCAGGATGGCATGGTTCGCACATTAGCGAGACATCTTCCTCGTCATGCCCATGACCTTCCCCGACGTAGCCATCAATGTTGCAACTCCTCGAACCGTCAGAGCAGTGGGTACTCACAGAGGAAGTAGTTGAGATTGTACCGCAGCAGGGACGGTTCGGTCGGGTTCTTCATCCAAACGCGGCTCTGGTGGTTGGTCACCCGGTTTGTCCTGGAACATGCGACACACGCGTGGTTTTATTACACGCGTCGGCCCCATCCCAGGTCACGGGGTTACGAGATCTCTCACAGGCTCCGTGGGTCAGCTGGGAGGTAGGAGACAGAACGTGGAACAGCACCTCTCGTGAGGGACATCAGTGAGACACTGCCGGCAGTGAAGGAGTTGGAGTTGAGGACATGGCCGTTTTAGCTACATTTGCCCAGGTATCCACTAGTCTTTAGTGCCTACCCAGGGAAGGGCCGATGAGTGGAAAAGCATACTGCAGCAACATATCTGTCGAGAAAGAGGAGCTTGTTATTACTGGCCGAGATCTTGACAACGAAAACGTGCCTCGAGAAACTCCCTCGAACCTCGAGTTTGCCATTCGCAAAAACTCAGTCTCGTGATACTTCCGTCACTTCTGTCGCGCGTGCGTGCCTGATGACGTCATCACCTGCCGGCCGAGATCCGGGAGAAGACATGGGATCTCCACATCCGCGGAAAAGAGGCCAGGAGCAGGCGCCGAGCGCCGCGCGCCGTGCTCTGCGCATTCCTGGCTCATAAGCGGGATTCAGCGGCGTCAGTCGGTCAGACGTCGCCTTTGTCCGCTCGTGGCCGGGCCGACGCGCGGCGAAAGCGTCGTCGAAGCGCCGCCACCGCCGCTCGGCGCACTTTCTACCCGCGCCGTCATGGTGTGGGCAGGGCGCGCGTCCTTCTAGCGGTTCGGCGTGGGACGAAGCGCGAGGCGAGCGGCGAAAAAGCCTCATCAGCATGCCCCTGGACAAAGCCGCGTGATGGAAATCCTGCGGCGCCTAAAGCTCCTTCAATCACCTCCTGAATTTATTCGCGCCTTTTAACTGGCCTCGTCTGCAAGTCAGAGTTTGGGACCACGCATATTTTATGCCGCTCAGTGGGTGGTCTTTCGTTGAATTTTCGAAATGTGCTTTAGTACAGGATTGCAACAGATATCGGCGGGAGTTCCAAAGTCTAAATTCCGGGCTAAAATCCCAGGGCTAATGCTAAAATAGCCATGATATAAACCAAAATGATTAGCAGCAGACAGAGTAAGCGCAGTGCTCATGAACAAACATAATTGCCCCAGCCATCGCCAAGCCGCCATCGACGTAGGACTCTGAAATGACGTACATCAGCCTCATTTTAGGTTGGGATTGAAAGGCATAGTGGTTCAACCTTCTGATTGCCATCACCACCAATCTACAAGCTGTCGTGCTGACATGACATTGTGGCCATTGACACTGATATGATGTCGCGACGATTGACGGTGACGCCAACCAAATCATATGACTAAAGGCATGACGAGGATCTAGGCGAAGGACGCAAAGGCACAGTACTTCACGAAGGAAGAGGACCGCCTTCGTGAGGTCAGTGCCGATATTCTTACGGTCGGGTGCCGTAAGTGAGGTGGGCGACCATTCACTCAAATACGTACAGATCCCATCAGTAAATTGTGAACAACACTGGGCTGGTCCACCCCTCGGTAGGTCACCTATTCTGTTGTTTGTTTTTGCGAGAGGACGGTAGAGTGTGGTGCTTACAGGCTGTTGACGTAAGTCGTTTGAACCTTAAGCTTGCTGTTGATGTCCTTGTAGTAGGACCAGCTCCAGCACTGAGACAGCGGCACGGATACTTCGTTGCTGAACTTGTACTGGAGGTACCAGCGACCCAAGTACTGAAACAAAGGTACGACAAATGTGGTTAGTGCATGTCATCAGGTGATACTGTACAACTGTGTTTTTTCGAAATGTGCGTATTTCGTAATGTGCGTATTTATAAATGGCCCATTATACGTTCTGATCACGGAATTCGAATTATTATGTATCGGTTGATTACGTAATCCCACGGCTGGGTGGTTTTGTGCTGCTCTTCTGATCTAAAATAGCTTCTCCACCATGTAAGTTTTCCATCACCTGCATTTCTCGGCTTTTATGGCCCGATTTTTTGCGTTTTTCAACGACCTGGCAGGCAAAGATTGCATTTCTGGCAGTCATTTTTTACTTTGCTAGAATTCTTTTGAATCGATGAGGTGTACACGTTCCCCAATTTAGTTGCGCCGACTATTTTCGAACCAAATGCGGTCTTTTTGGCACGGGACACTTGTTCACTAAGAAGCTTCCTGTCCGATCCAGGTTTGACGTGTGCTGCTCTGCGGACACAACGAAGCTCGAAGGCCAAAACCGGTCAACACCAGCAGCGCCTTTCCGACGCCATCCGATGCGTGTCATTTCATGACGACTGTGGTAAAGAGTCATTGCATTAGTGGATAGGACTGGGCAGGAACATTCGCTTGCGAAATGAAATGGCATTCCCCCCCCCCCCCACCAAAAAAAAGAAACAGTGAACACACTCACAGCACCGTAATGTTCATGGGCATGAAGCAAAATACCTGTTCTCTAACCTGTCCTATGCTAATCGATAGCCTCCTACCTTCAGCGCATGGTTGGGCCTTGGTGAAGGGTAATCGATTCTTCTCCGAGGGCCAGCTTCCGACACCAAACAAAAAGACATTGGACCGTTTCACAGCAGCACAATGTACCAAATAATTTGGAATGCTCATCTCAATTTCAATAGCGTTAAAATATAGTGCATGGAAATCAATGATGCGACCAGTATGCAACTTTTTAAGGTGAAGTAGATATATCTGTGCAGGGGCTAACCGGTGTGAAGCAAAAATTCTCAAAATGTTCCAATTTGCAGATTTTCAAGCAACTTGATCGGCTGCCAACTTCCTCGTTGCGGTGCAGGTACTAAAATTATATGCAACATACAAAGTCATGCGTAGGCCTTCACAACATACAAATTCGTCAGAACATATTTTTCAATGCGCTTCCAAAAAAAAAAACACGGTGAGAACGTTACAAACTAGTGGGCAATAGCACGATAAATATTGGGTATCTTCAAAATGGATGCTTGTTTGCTGGCAATGGACACAAAACATGCATATTTTCGTTGAAAATCAGTTCACCGCAGTACATATCTGAACAGTGTGTATGCTGTTGGTTTTGTGCTATCAGCACATAGTTTTCACGGATTTCGACGCTCGAGTTCCAGCAAATAGCATGCGTTCATGCTAAAAATAAGGCCGGCAGCCGCTGCGCTCAACCAATGGCTGTACGGGGCGAGCGTCACGTGGGGGTGCGCGTGAGTCATGTTGGTGGGAAAATGCTCAACTGGGGTCGCATTGCCGGCTTAGAAATCTCAAGGTAGGCGTCGATCCGTCAAACCAGTGGATGCTGATGCTCCCTTGGATAAACTACCATCCGATTGGACGGCCCTAACTCTTCGATTCCCTTCCGATCTCCCTAGATCTTCCATCCCACCTTGCCCCTGGGTCACGAAGGGCTCGGTATTAGCTAGTTTGTCTGCATGGCTCCGCATTAAACACAGCCTTGTCTTTTCTTTCCTTATCACATGATCACGAAGTGTATTAGACCTATGAAACAGTCACTGGCAGGAGTCCTACCGTGCCCGCTTTTGCCCATTTGGCAGAAAACCTCCGTGCCAGGTTAGTAGGGATCCAATCCAGCCGTTTCCTTGCTCGCCAGACGCTGGAGACGGAAATGCGGAGAGAAATGTTGCACCACCACAGATGAGAGAAACTTTTGTGAACAGATTCCACCAGGCGCTACCGCTCACCGGGAAGCGGTGACCTGCCGGTGGCACGGTGGGCTGCACCTGGCCCTGGGTGGCCGTGGTAATAATATCGCTAGCCACGTGCCTGCCGACTGGCACGGTGGAATGCACCTGGCCTTGGGTGGCCGTGGTGAATAATATCGCTAGCCACGTGCCTGCCACTGGCACGGTGGAATGCACCTGGCCCTGGGTGACCGTGGTCAATAATATCGCTAGCCACGTGCCTGCCAACTGGCACGTTGGGCTGCACCTGGCCCTGGGTGGCCGTGGTGAATAATATCGCTAGCCACGTGCCTGCCGACTGGCACGGTGGAATGCACCTGGCCCTGGGTGGCCGTGGTGAATAATATCGCTAGCCACGTGCCTGCCAACTGGCACGTTGGGCTGCACCTGGCCCTGGGTGGCCGTGGTGAATAATATTGCTAGCCACGTGCCTGCCGACTGGCACGGTGGGCTGCACCTGGCCCTGGGTGGCCGTGGTGAAATGGTATCCCTAGCCACTTACAGGTGCTGATGCCGAGAGGGCTGTATGAGGAAGCTTACATTTCATTCGTGTCTGCCGTCTTGTGACAAGACGGTTTTAAAACTGCTCTAAGTTCCAGCATATTCAGGTTTTTTCTCCTTTGTTAAGTTTTTTAGTTGCACATAGGGTAGGGTGAACAATACTTTTTGGGAGGTGCGACGTATGTATTTAGCTTATGAAAGCTTGCGTTAAAATAAATGCAAGAACTTACCACACACCTTCAAAATGGGGCGTGTCAATTTGAGGCTCATCTGATAAGCAACATAAGGGTGCATCGGTGGTAATTAAAGTGCTGCTGCCCGTGACAAACCTGCAATCTCAACATGTCGCGTCGTTGCATTCGGCTCTTATTACGAGCCGAAGCCAGGCAGCGATAAGGGAAGATAGAAGCCGGCAGCTGTCGGTGGTAGCCGTTTAAGTAAATCGTAAGGATTCAATGACATGTGGGGTCAATGGTCTAGATACAGGGTTATACTGGAAGCCGTCTTACCGGGCTCTATTCCAACATTACTACAAAATATATATGAGATTTCGAATACCTTCATTTCCAGAAGGTTCCTTATGACGAAATGGACTACAAAAAGTAGCGAGCTATTGAAGACGGCTAGCTCACCTCCAACGTGGTAGCTATCACCTTGTGATTCCCCATAAATTCGTTTGCTGGCGTCGAGTCGAAGAAATGCACTCTATGGATAATAATTGCATAGATGCACGAAAGGCGACTTTGGAGGTTTATGCACCGGCCGGGGGGCATTCAACATCAATTATCAAATGTTCAGTAATGCGATACCATCGCGAGCTGCACAGCATTTTACTTAATATTTAACTAATAAGACAAGTCTCTGAGAGTGGCAGCATCCGTCCGTACTCAACCCAAACTGAACGCTAATTTGAGTTCCGAGCTACATTTCAATGTAGATCCGAAAACCATGATCAATATTCATATTAACTGACTTATTCATCGTCAGCACTAAGCCCGATAGATGTCTGGCGAAAAAGCGCACACAAACGTCATGATGTTACGGTGTTACGGTGTAAATAACGTCAACATACCAGGATGTTATTCCCAGACCGTAGGGGCGCAGCGAAACGTCTCGTTCCTTATGTGGAGCAATCAGGCTCTGCTGCATCGAGGGGGGGGGGGGAGGGGAAGAGATGAAAACAGACAGAAGCAGCAGCATACATCCATTCTGGGCCGCCTATGTCAGTCAATTGTAACAGTTTTCAATTGCTACCCTCGCCAGCTCACTGTCTGTGGACGGAGCCTTCAGCGAGTGTTTCATGAACTTAAGAGCATCATGATCGGACAGAAACCATGTGCGGGTCCCACGCACAACACACCCCAGTATCAGTACGGGATAATCTGTCGAACAGTTTGCTCCAGGGCTCACGTGGGAAGCGTGGCTGACCGCAGGTAGCCTCCAGAGCGGAGCGTTATGGGGAGGGGCTGACGCCTCGTGAGCGCAGGCGTCGTGATCTGTGATGTAGGTGGTTTGGGCGTTTGTGGGCATACCCCCTACGACGGAAGAATTGAATGCTCGTGGATACGATGGCTCCACAGGGAATATATTGCAGTTATAACTAAATGTTAAATGCCCACATTGGCGGAGGGAATGATTGCGCTCGAATAAAACCTAGCAGGTGCTTATGTGTGTGTCCGCAAATGTCACACTGAAGCACGCACTTCCGTTTTAGTTTTTTTCATTTCCTCCCTGATTTCGGCTTCGGCCATGCTAAGACAGTCTTGTGCGTTGCTTGGACACGAAACATGTACTGTTTGATTTGACTCACTAAGCGGATTGCGCAGCTTTGGTAGAACATTTTTTTTTATTAATAACTAAGGGACATCAGAATTTACCAACAGTTCGCGGATGTCCACGCCAATTATTTCATCGGATAGTGCCAAGTGAGTTCTTTTTCGGGACCTAAGCTTTTGAGTGTTTTGAAACTTGCTATGCTGCTCCAATCTATGAGTGGCCTAATGCGTTCCACGGCTGGAAATTTGCCCTAATTAACACTCCTACGATCACTCATACGGATGTTTACTGGTTGATGGCTTCATGAATTCCGCCAGCACGTATTCCCAGTAAGCATTGATCCTACTGCAATGCCTGATCCTACATTGATCCTACTAGCGCTCGTCTGTCGCATGCTCGATCAAAATGCTAGTGACGTGAAATGTATTGGAGCATCTAACCAAAAGACCTTTCCGGCGGCCATTCTATCTCAAGCTCCAGTGCTCTTCACCTTTCTGGTCTACTCCAACCGCACGTTAATTTTAGCGAGCATTCCAGGGTGCATGTCCAGAGAAAATGACTCACCGAGTTGATGTCGAACTCTCTGATGGCAGGGAAGCGGCGGCACTGGGCGTAAGCACAGGTCACCAGCAGCAACAGCCTCCAGACGGGTCCCATGGCCATGGCTTCCAGTCTCGGTCAGGTGTGCGGCGCAGAAGTCACAGCGGCACCCGGTCTGGAGCGGCACCGGCGGTCGACTGGCGGCACGCCACGGGAGCCGAGGCAGCTCCACGCTGCCTCCTCTAGGCCGGAGACGGAGTTTCACGCCACCTCCTTCCGGAGAGAGACGGAGCTCTACGCCATCTCCCCCCGACCGGTAACGGAACTCCACACCAGCTCCCCCCACCTCCTCCCGGACAGAGACGGAGCTCTACACCATCCCCTCCCGGTCAGAGATGGCCTTCTCCCGGGCAGAGACGGAGCTGTACAACATCTCCTCCCGGGCAGAGACGGAGCTGCACAACATCTCCTCCCGGCCAGAGACGGAGCTCCACACCACCTCCTCCCGGCCAGAGACGGAGCTCCACACCATGTCTTCCCGGCCAGAGACGGAGCTCCACACCACCTCCTCCCGGCCAGAGACGGAACTCCACACCATCTCCTACCGGGTAGAGACGGAGCCCCACACCATGTCTTCCCGGCCAGAGACGGAGCTCCACACCAGCTCCTCCCGGCCAAAGACGTAGCTCCACACCACCTCCTTCCGGCCAGAGACGGAGCTGCACAACATCTCCTCCCGTTCAGAGACGGAAATATACACCATACACTCCCGGCCAGAGACGGAGCTCCACACCACCTCTTGCCGGCCAGAGACGGGGCTCCACGCCACCTCCTCTCGGTCAGAGATGATGCTCCACACTACAGAGCTGCACACGGTCCCCTCCTTGACAGGGGCGCAGCTACGTACGGTCTCCTCTCAGATGGGGACGGAGCCCCGTGCAGGCTTCTCCCATCCACATGCAGAGCTCCACGCTGTCTCTCCTCGATGAAAAGTGCCGAGCTGGTTTCCAGGTTTGCCTTGAAATTTAAATTCATGCTAAACATACGCATATGTTTGTCATAGAATAGTCAGATGTCACTCACTCACTCAATTTGTTTCGCTTGGTGGGCGGTGAATCCAACATGAAAAAACACGTGCATAGCATTCTAGCAGCAGCCTAACATACTAATTGTATGTTTTAAGGTCTCTGTACTGAGATGTTTGTATTTTTATCTCATTATCTTGAAATTTATCTGAAAATCTCAAAAGTGCACTCTATGACCCAAAATACCGCGCATACGTACGGGTCACTTTCACATAGCTTTCAAAGTTTTTGGACACTAAATGGCAGTTAGCAGCGGTCAGCTGCACGCGTGCTCTTCAACTCATTCCATTGAAGGCAACGCGTCTTACAGAAGAGTAGCGCACACGCCGGTATAGCAAGCGAACGTAACTGTATTTACTCTACAGCTGCACGATAGCCTTGCCACCGCAAGGCTCCGCTTCGACAATCATTGTTTCACTATCACAAAACATTCACCATTTGTTCTTGGACCGCTGCTTATTTTACTCACTGCTATAAGCTATTATTCGTTCGGCTTGAAATAACGGCTCTAAATGCGCTCGCAGGGTTTCAATAAAAACTACCTTCTTTCCTTCGTCACATGCGAATATTTTGTACAACTAGCAATGTCACAATATTCGCAACACATGGGAAGTTCGAATAATCAAATATTAGCGCGTTCGAATCGAGTCTTAACCTGGAAACGTCGTGCATCGGCTGATGTGGACTGATATCTTGGGCCAAAGGGCGCGCACGGGCTCGCAATTGGGAATTGCCTCGGGGCTAATCTCTGACCCCGCTTCACAGGACACCTGTGCATCTCTCACTCCTGTCGACATTCGTTCCAAGTTTGCGCCTTCATCAACAATAGCTACCACCTGGCGGGAATCCCACTAACTAAACCCTGATACCGTAAGAGGTCTATCCGCTAACTGGGATACTTCACACGCATTTGGTCATACGTTAAGAATCGTCCCTGCCTGTCAATGCTATAATCACCGAATCTTATTCACACCGATTCGTGCGGCGATGGAAAGCAGAACAATTTTCTACCGGAATATAGTCATTAAACCAAAAAGTTTTCTCCCTCATTAGGTGCACAGTATCCGGTTTAAGCTTGGAGAACCAAGCTTGAAATATTTGGAGCAGGTCTGAATACGAAATGTTCAGCTTGCTGCCTACAGCCACCAAGCCTAGTCCTGAACAGCACGCTTACCGCGAGCGGTGCTATGCGTATCTGGTAAATACATTATTATCCGGATATGTACTGCAAAAGGCGGACATTCCAGCTAAGTTTCAAAACGTTGCGCAAGCAACGTGCGGGAAATGTTCCTGATCCTCCTTGTTTTGCACTCAAGAACGCTGCGTCACGGGTCACCCTGGGCGGTCTGCCACGACAGATTAGCTTCCTAATTAGACTTGAACTTTGAATCAACAAACGGATGTGCATAGATATGCAAGGAACTATATAAATCAGCATAGAAATCACCAGACCTCTGGAAGGTATTATTCCTTTCAAGGTAGAAAGGCATTCTTCCATTCATGCATTCTTGCATGAAATGTTTTTGTGCCCACAGGCTCAACACTCCTGAGACGTTATGCAATACAGGACATAAATTTTCTTCCTGCAATCTTTCTTTGACGAAAACCGAGACCTTACAATGTCAACTTTATCTTAAAATATGACTTTTTTTGCAAGGCCACATGATTTTCACGGTTTGAGGATGTTATCCATACCGACAAGGCCACGTAAACTTGGTTTTGTTTAGATTTCGTTAAACTCCAGATGTCTCAGCTTTGGAGAAGCTTTAGCATCTCTTGAACACTCTTCATCTTTTGTAAACACAGTTGGGTGATCTACAAATTGCGAAATTCTCAACTCTACCCTAGAAATGCAAATTTCTCTAATTTTATTAAAGAACGTACCTTTACAGCCAGCATTCGACTGCCAGTGAAAACAGCATTCCCAACAGAGAGCATCCTTGTATTATACCACGCTGAGGGAAAACCATGTGGAAATGGAACCATTGATATTTATAGCTAACTCCGCGCGCGTGTACAGAAATCGGACCAATGTTATAAAGTCATCTCCGAACTTGGATGAACACAACATGTTAAATTTAAAGTCGTGCTCAAAGGAGTTACACGCGTATCAAAATCTAACGCACACTTTATGCTTATACTGTCGCCAATGACAATATCATCATGCAACATTTTTATGTTTTTTATGTTGTCACGAATATGAATACATTAATGAACCCGGCCGCCTGAATCGATCAGTTTTTTATTACTTTCGTATGCGTATGCCAAGAACTTTGATATTTTTTTATAAATGACGTCTAGCAGGTAGACCGGACGTTTGTTTTGTTAGCAATTTTTAGTCCCCTTTCTTAGGAGCCGGTGTTGTCATGCCACATCTTTGATTCACAAACAGTGATTTTAAGTCAAACGAATCATTGATGTAGTCTGCTATTAGACTCCCCAAATTGTCACACAATCGGAGACAAAATTATTTCATGAATCCCTGCAGCGCTGTGATTTGTTTTCAGCCATCAGATCCAAAGCGTGTTTGCGCTCACCGCCGGTAACTTTTCCCTTTCGCATGGCTCGGTCGTTTTTAGAGCTGTGGAGCATCTTCAGGAAAGTATAAATATGATATAAGTATATGATAGTATATAAATATGATGATACTATATAAATATGATGATAGTATATAAATATGATGATTGCATATAAATATGATGATAGTATATAAATATAATGATAGTAGATAAACATGATAATAAGTTTTAAATATCTTTCGGGGGGCTTCGTTCGAACTATGCAGTTCAGCAAAGTATCACCGACAAGTTTCGAGAATACTTGTATCCCTGTAACAAACGGGCCACCTGCCACCTAGAATGCCGATTACCTTGTCTTCGGCCCGTTTCTTCAAGAGCCGCATACAACATCTAGTAAGTTTTACGATTTTCTAACCAATTAGCTTTCGAGAGGACCACCACTATTTTCCCAGCATCTTCTTTAGGGTCTTCTAGTTCTATCTTAGCTTTTTAATAGTTCTGACTTACTCTCCTCTCGAGGGCTACTTACAAGCGACTTCAGCTGTGGCATTCTGGTCTCCTGTTGCTCTCCACGGTTTCGTTTTGCTCGAAATGATTATTTGCCCTTTTATATTTTAAGTACTCCAACATTGCTCAACAGCGTCCCAATTAACGCTCCATGACGTACAGTGAGAATATGGTTCTGCTTCCGCGGCTGGGCGCCCGGTTGTCGGGGAATTTGTGCCGCCTCTGTTGTGTGCCACTGACCGCCCGGTTTGCGTGCGCTTTGGCGGCGCCCTTGCCTCAAAGGTGACCGCGGTGACCGGGGTAAAAGGTGAACGGGATCACGTGACCAGGCCCTCGGCCCGGCTTTGCGGGCCGGCCGACCATTTGTTTTGCTGATCGGGAGGCAGCTGGGCACCGGCGCCGGCCTCTGCCCGCTCCAAGACCGGCCATCGTCTTCCACCGTCCGAGTGTTCTGCGGGGAAGCGATTCATCTTTTGTTGGTTATTTTGCTTCCCCTACTTCGTCTGCAGCCGCTGTCGTTTATCTTTCAGTTTTACTTCAAAAGTATATTTATCTTTCTCCTCCGAATGCACCGACATTGAGGGCCATCTTGATGTTATTAGGTTACGCCGCCGCAATGCTTGATGTTGACTTGTTTTTCTTTGTCATCTCACCGAGCGTGGCGGTGCTTTCAGTTCTACCATTGTGGTGCATCATTGCGTTGTTTAGCGTTGTTGCTGGATGGCCACGTGGTGGCGCTCTAGGTATGTGATTGCCGCAAGACGCCGGGCTCGCGTTATCCGTGCATTTTCCTGGTAATATATGTGAACCATTCTGTGCGTGTGTGTACGTGCACGTGCACAAGGTTGTATAATCAACATGCATTTGCAGAAACTGTTCGCACTGCAACGCACAGCGTCCTGCTGCGTGTTCGGGAGTGCGTGACAAGAACGAGCCCGAGAGCGATGCACCGTCACCATTCCCAGCAGCATCGTTGCCGCTCTGTATCGCAGCAATTAGCAGATGGCGATGTTCAAAACCATTTTTGAACCATGACGGTTTTTTGTGTCCCTGTCATCAATAAGTTCGCATGTCT